CATATGTTGATGCTCCAATCCCTGGTGTGGCTATATTTGGAGATGGGGCCTCTAAGAAAGTAATTCAGGCTAAATGAGGTCAAAATGGTGGGGCTCTGATTATATAGGATTAGTGACCTTAAAAGAAGAGATGCTAGAGAGGGCTCTCTCTCTCTGTTCCTGTGTCTCTCTATGCAGACACGTGCACTGAGGGAAGGCCATGTGAGCACAAAGCAAGAAGGCAGCCATCTGCAACCCAAGGAAAGAGCCCTTACCACCAGAAACCAATCCTGCTGGCACCTTGATCTTGGACTAACCAGCCTCTAGAACTGTGAGAAAATAAATTTCGGCTGTTTAAGCTGCCCAGTCTGTGATATTTTGTAACTGCTGCCCAAGATTAATACATTAGCCAAACTTGAAAATGGTATCCAATGATTCTTGCTTCCTGCTATTCGTTCCCTTGAATATAGCTGACCATTTAATCTAACAGAATATTGCAGAAACGTTGGCATGTAGCTCCAAGAGTAGGTTAAAAAAAAGAAGAAAAAAGTGTGCTCTCTTGTACCACTTGCTCCAGGACAAGACAGTCACAATGTTGTGAGGATATTCAAGCAACCCTATAGAGAGGACTACGTGGCAAGGAACTGAGATGTCCTGCCGACAGCTTACATCAAGGCACAAGTGAGCTACCTTGGAAGTAGATTTTCCAGGCTCCATAGAACCTTCTGAGATGACTACACACCAGGCCAACACTTTGACTGCAACCTCATGAAAGACCCCAAACAAGAAGCATCCAGCTAACATCTCCCAAACCCCTGACCCACAGAAATTGTGCAAGAAATGTTTATTGTCCTTTTAATACAGTAAATTTTAGATTAGTGTGTTATGTAACAATAGATAACATAGCATGCAAAGCAGAAGTGAATTATTACAAACCTAACATGATAAAGGAAATAAATATTTCAAGTATTCTAGAAGCCCCCTACGTGCTGCCTCCTAAGCACTATGTGCTCCTACCTCAAAGATAATCACCGTCCTAAGTTTTAATACTATAGAAATTAACAGAAGTGGAACTATACAAAATGTATTCTTTTGTGTATGACTTCTTAGGGAGATTTATGCATGTGGTTTCACTTAACAGTACTTGTCTATTTCCACTGTTGTATACTATTTGACTGTATGAATATACCACAATTTATTTTTTGATTCTAGCATTGAGGGACATTTGGACTGCTTCCATTTGGGGGTATTATGAATAATAGTACTATAAACATCCTTGTATATGTCTTTTGACACACAAATATATGGATTTATGTTTGGTATTTATAAGAAGCTCATTGGGATTTTGACTGTGGGGAGGGTTGTAGAATCCACAGGTCAATTTTTAAAAATGTGACATCTTTACAATATTAAATATTCCAGTCTAAGAACATGATATATACCTCCATTTATTCAGGTTATACTTTAAATAATATTTTGTAATTTTCTGCATAAAGATACATACAATTTTTGGTAGATTTATTCCTAAGAATTTGGTTTCAATACAAGTGTAAATTGTACCATCTTTTCAAAATTTTATCTTATTGATTGGTTGCTGGAATAAGAATAAAATTGATTTTGGATATTGACCCTTTATCCAGCAATACTGGTAAATTCATGCATTGTTTCTAATAATGCACAGATGATTTTGCATTTTCTATAAGTACAGTTGCTGTGGATTGATTGATTTGTATCCCCCATATATTAGAAACTTAATTCCCACTTTAACTGTTGAGGGTGGGAAATCCTGTTATGGTAATGGAAAGGTGGGGCCTTGAAGGGGTGATCAGATTGTAGGACCATACCATAGTGAATGGATTAATAATAATGGTGGTCAGCAGTGTGGTTCTGAGGGCTTTAAAAAGAGAACACGTGAGAATCTCTCTCTCTCTGCTCTGCCATTTTCTGCCACGTGAGATCCCTGTGTTGCTGAAAAGCCACCATCAAGGAAGACCCTCACCAGATTTGTTCCCTGGACTTTGGATTTCCCAGCCTCCAAAACTGTAAGCAATAAATTTTCTTTTCTTACAAATCACCCAGTTCCAGGTATTGTGTTATAAGCAATAGGAATAGACTAATACAACAGTCACGTTGTCTATAAAGAAAGATAGTGTTTAGTCCTCCTTACAAATCTTTAGATATTTTTTCTTCGCTTATTGTACCAAGTAGAATTCTCGTAAAATGCTACTTAAAAAATAGAAAATAGGCAATCTTGTCTCATTCACAATTTCAAAGGGAAAGCCTTTAACGGTTCACCAAGAAGTATAAAGTTTCTGGAAGATTTTTTTGTACCCTTAGCAGAAGAGTAATAATGTTCTCTTCTAGTCCTTGTTGGCAAAGAGATTTTTAATCATAAACTGCCACTAAACTTAACTACTTTTTTTGCACTCATTAAGATATTAAGATTTTCTCCTTTATTCTTTGAATGAGGTATATTATGCTGATTTTTGACTGTTAGATCAACCTTGTACTCTTAGAATACCCATAATGGGAAATACTTGGTCATTTGTTTCTTCACACATCTTTTTTTGCTTCATTCTCTTACCTTTATTTCTATTTTGACTGTTAGATCAACCTTGTACTCTTAGAATACCCATAATGGGAAATACTTGGTCATTGTTTCTTCACACATCTTTTTTTGCTTCATTCTCTTACCTTTATTTCTAAATTCTAATTACATATATATTAGACCATTTGATATCATCCCACAATTCTTGGAGGCCCTCTTTATTTTCTTTTATCTGTTTTCTCTCTATTCTTGAAATAAGTTACTTTCTATTGTCCTCTCTTCAAATTCACTAACTCTAACTCTTTCACTCCTTCATCAGCTATCTCTAATCCACTAAGTCCATCCAGCAAATTGTCCATTTCAGTTATTTTACTTGCGGAGGCAGAGGAGCACTCACCCCTCCGCCCCCCAAGATGTCCATGCCCTTCATCCCTGAAACTGGTGAATATGTTACATTATAACATGTCAAAGGAACTTTGTGGATATAACTAAGGTTTTGTACCTGTATTATCCAGGCGGGTACACTCTAATCACATAAGCTCTTAAAAACAGACGTGGTGAAAGAGTACGAAGAAGAGATGTGTTAGAAGGGCAACTTATAGAGATTCAAATGCAGACTCAACACACCATTGTTGGCTCTGAGTGGTATGGGCCAGCATGTGAGGGACTGAAGAGAGGTCTTTAGTTGCTCATTAAAAGTATAAGAAAGAATGCAGGCAGCCTCCAGGAGCACAGACTAACCTCTGGCTAAAAGCCAGTAAGGAAACAGGGACCTACAACCTACAACTATAAAGAAAGGAATTTAGCCAACAACTTAAATGAGGTTGGAAACGGATTCTTCCCCCAAAACCTCCAGTAAGTAAGCAATGGCACTCTGCCAACAACTTGATTTTAGCCTCATGAGACCTATGTTGGACTTCTAAACTATAGATCTGCTAAGACTCTCATTACACATACATTAGGCTTTTTGATATTTTCTCCAGGCTACAAATGTTCTTTTCATATTTTTCCCCTTATTTTTCTCACCATGCTTCGGTATGGGCAATTTCTATTGATCTGTCTTCAAGTTCTCTAATCTTTTTTTCTGCTGAGTCTAATTTGCTATTAAGCCCTTCAAATAAATTTTTATTTCTTATAATGTATTTTTTAAGGATTTTTTTTTTCTAGTTTCTACTTCTCTGCAAAATTCTTTACATTTACACATTTTGTTCATCTTTTCCACTAAATCCTTTAGTATTTTTACAGTAGTTGTTTTAAAGTCTTTGTCTACTGATTCCAGTGTTTGGGTTACTCGTGAGTCTGCTTCTATTAACTGCTTTTTTTCCTTCTGATTATGGGTCACTTTACCCTGCCTCTCTGTCTTTTTTAGTTGTTTACTAGACACTACTTGTAAAGGCAGAGACGGATATAAATAATATTTATTGCCATAAAAGTACAGATCCTTTTTTTGTTGTTAGCAGCTAATTGCTGATCCAGATCTAGACTTTGCTGCAGCTTTAATTAGATTCAGTTCTCTATTATTTACTAATTATGTGAAGGAGAGATCACGCTTCTTCTTTCAGCAGAGCTTTGGTACTGGACAGTGGCAGATTCTAGAGATATTTATCTCTGTGTTACACACACCTCAGCTTTCTAGCCAACATGAGAAATCTCTGTTTTAAAGTTCAGTCATAAGCCTTTGGGGCTGGGGAAGGAGGTCTTCTTTGCCCTCTATTTCCACCCACAGCTTACTATACCTCAAAAGATCTCCTTCCTCTTCCTGCCCTTCCTACAGCCTTTAAAAGACTGCTGAGGTATCCTTGGTAAGGTTACATATGTGCCTCAGACTTGCAGAATAATCTTGGGTAAATCATTAAATGCAGTACTTCAACATTCTTTTTTATAAAAATAAAAGGGTCAGACAAGATGGTTCTTAATGTCCCTTCTAGCTTTCATATTTAATTATCTGTATATTCTATAATCTATAATTATTTTTTGTTAAATATCAATTTGTTAATGTGTTATTAGCAATCATAATCTATTAAGTACACATACAAGATCACTTTGCAGAAGTAGTATATGTAACATATTTTGGAATAAAAAGTAAACTATACTTCTTGACACATGTACTTTTCTATATGCATACTATACATTAAAGGAAAATTAAAAATTATTTGGAGCAGTCTTGATTTCTTATAAATCATAAATCACAGCAATAAGCAAATGTACAAACTAAAAAGAATTTTTTTCGTCTAGAAAACACATATACACACTCATATAAAATCAAAACAAGCTAAAACATCTCCTAGTATTCATAGAGAAATAATTAACTTTTTGAAACCCAGTGCATTATTACTTTTTTTTTTTTTTTTGGAAAACATCAAATTCATCTGTAAAGTCAGCACTGCACAAAAACTATCCATAGAGGAAATAAACTCTGAAGTGTACTGACTTGAAAATGGAAAATAACTCAGGTTTAGGTGAAGACACTTACCCATCTTCAGTTTCTTTTAGTAAGCGACTAGCAATTCGGATCAGCATGCAGTATGCAAATTGTGATTTGAGACCAGATTTAGTAAACTTATTCAACATCTTGGAAACAGCAAGCCGATCATTCTTTCTAAGGTGATACAGGACTCCCAATGCATGGTACTAAAGAACAAGAGAGAATGTATCATACAGATTAGAAAGAAGAAAAAAGACCTACATGAAAACAGAATCACATGGAACCAGATTAAATATTTTTAGTAAAAAAATACCCAAATTGGATGTATACAAGTAGAATATTTTTTCATACTGAACAAAACACAGGCAAGACTAAAAGGATGAGAGTTTCAAATTTACTCCCAGAAGTTGTACATTCGGACTGGACAAGCATGAAGGAGGTGACATCCAATCTGAAGACGGCTCTAACAGGTTCAACCTTGGGCCACATATCCTCAGTACAAAAGGCTGTCAGGTCCAAAGCTTTACCAGTGTCACAGGTCTCTTTTAGTAGCTTTTAATCATCTGTGGCCACATTATTAGGTAAAGGATTAATCTCCTAAAATAGGAGAGTGAGAGTGTTTCCCAAGGGAAAAATTACTACTTTGTTTCATAATTGAATATGCTAACATGAGAAGCTGTACATAGTGAAAGGGCATAAATAAATACCCTCTAAAATACTAATGGGGTACTTTATATAAAATTTTCATTTAAGAATTTAATCTTGTTCCTTTTAATAAGGAATATCTTAATAAATATCAAAAGGAGCCTGACAAAACGATTTCAAAGTTTTACAGAGTGAAAACTGCTCTTTATTTTTTTTATAATGCCTATAATCAAGGCCTTAAAAACTTGGAATTGAACATCATTTTACACAAATTATTTTTCAAATAAAAGACTGCAATGCATTGTGAAGGACCTCTGGAATGAGTATCTCAATCTACTACTGAAAATAAGAATCTTTCCCAAACATTCCTGAGGGGGGGGTGGGGGGGCAATCTACCACACACTTGAAGGGCCTATGACAATCATCATCATTAGTGAGATACCTACTTGAGAATGTGCACTAGTGGGCTGCTTAATATGCCAAAGAATTTGCTTTTAGTTAATGCCAAAGAATTTGCTTTTAGTTAAT